CTCCAAGGGGGTTTATTGGCAGCGCCCGGACGCCGGGGCCCCTTCCCGGACGCCGGGGCCCCCAGGTAAGAAGGCACTTGGTTGGGGGGGGGGCAAAGGCAACGGGGAGGGGGGGCCGGACGCCGGGGCCCCTTCCCGGACGCCAGGGCCCCTTCCCGGACGCCGGGGCCCCCTCCCGGGCGCCGGGGCCCCCTCCCGGACGCCAGGGCCCCTTCCCGGACGCCGGGGCCCCTTCCCGGACGCCGGGGCCCCCTCCCGGACGCCGGGGCCCCTCAGAGGTGGCCGCGCTGGCGCAGCTCGTGCAGCAGCTCCGGGACCCCCGGCAGGAGCCGCCCCGGCTGCCGGGGGGGGGGCTCGGCCAGCGCCAGCACCCGCGGGCCCCCGCCCAGCGCCACGCCCAGCTCCTCGGGCGTCACCTGCTCCAGGGGCTTCTTCTTGGCCTTCTGCGGGGACACGGGGGGCATTGGGGACATTGGGGACATTGGGGACACGTTGGGGACGTTGGGGACAGGCCCTCACCATGATGGCGGGCAGCGTGGTGTAGCGGGACACATTGGGGACACATTGGGGACACGTTGGGGACACGTTGGGGACATTGGGGACATTGGAGACACGTTGGGGACACGTTGGGGACGTTGGGGACATTGGGGACATTGGGGACACAATGGGGACACGTTGGGGACATGTTGAGGACACGTTGGGGACATTGGGGACATTGGGGACACATTGGGGACATTGGGGACACGTTGAGGACATTGGGGACGTTGGGGACACGTTGGGGACAGGCCCTCACCATGATGGCGGGCAGCGTGGCGTAGCGGGACACATTGGGGACAGGTTGGGGACATTGGGGACATTGGAGACACGTTGGGGACACGTTGGGGACATTGGGGACACGTTGGGGACATTGGGGACATTGGGGACACGTTGGGGACATTTCCTCACCATGATGGCGGGCAGCGTGGCGTAGTGGGACACATTGGGGACACGTTGGGGACATTGGGGACACAATGGGGACACATTGGGGACACGTTGGGGACATTGGGGACATTGGGGACATGTTGGGGACACGTTGGGGACATGTTGGGGACATGTTGGGGACACTGGGGACATTGGGGACATGTTGGGGACATGCCCTCACCATGATGGCGGGCAGTGTGGCGTAGCGGGACACATTGGGGACACGTTGGGGACATTGGGGACACGTTGGGGACATTGGGGACACGTTGGGGACGTTGGGGACGTTGGGGACGTTGGGGACATTGGGGACATTGGAGACACGTTGGGGACATTGGGGACGTTGGGGACAGGCCCTCACCATGATGGCGGGCAGCGTGGCGTAGCGCGGCACGTTGAGCCGCAGGTCGGCCGTGACCAGCGCCGGCAGCCGCAGCCGCAGCGTCTCGAGGCCGCCGTCCACCTCGCGCTGCACCCGCAGCCAGGGGCCCTCGGGCGACAGCGACGACGCGCACGTCGCCTGCGACACGCGTGGGACACGCGTGGGACATACGTGTGACATACGTGTCATACATGTGACATACATGGGCCATACGTGTGACACGGGTCACACCCGCAGCCAGGGCCCCTCGGGCGTCAGCGACGACGCGCACGTCGCCTGCAGACACGTATGTGACACGCGTGTGACATATGTGTGATATACATGTGACATAGGGGTCATACATGTGACATACATGTCATACATGCGTCATATATGTGTCACACACGGGTCACATCCGCAGCCAGGGCCCCTCGGGCGACAGCGACAACGCGCACGTCGCCTGGGGGACACGTGTGTGACACGCATGTGACATACGTGTGACATAGGTGTCATATATGTGACATACATGTGCCATACGTGTGACACGGGTCACACCCGCAGCCAGGGCCCCTCGGGCGACAGCGACGACGCGCACATCGCCTGGGGGACACGTGTGTGACACGCGTGTAACATATGTGTGACATACTTGTCATACATGGGCCTTACATGTGACATACGTGTCATACACATGTCATATATGGGGTATATAAAACATATACGTGACACGCAGCTGTATCACGCGTGTGACATACCCAAATCATGCATGTAGCGTGTATGGACCTCACATGTGACACGTATGGCTCATACACATGTCATACATGTGACACTCGTGGGTCATACACGTGACATACATGTGCCGTACGTGACACACACGTGGTACACGTGGGTCCCACATGGGCCACACGTGTGACGTACGGGTCACGCAGATGTCGCACACGCACCACACGCATGTCACGTGTGTCACGTGTGTCACGTGTGTCACGTGTGTCACGTGACTCCCGGCACACACAGGTTCCATCTCCCACAATGGAGCGGGACCTCCCAACATGACCGCCTTAGGTACACCCAAAATGGCGGCCCCATGACGGCCCAGCATGGCCGCCTCCATAGATTGGGACCTCCCAACATGGCAGCCCCAGTACCACCCAACATGGCTGCCTTATAGACCCCCCAATATGGCCGACCCATGGACTCCCCCAACCATAGCCGCTCTATAGACCACCCAACATGGCCACCCTCATAGACCGGGACCTCCCAACATGGCCACCCCAGGACCACCCATCATGGCCGCCCGTGCACCTTCCCATCATGGCCGCCCCAGCGCTCCCACGGCGGCCCCCCGCGGACCCTCCCATCATGGCGGCCGCGCGCTGACCTTCCCACCATGGCGGCCGCCAGCAAGCCCTCCCACCATGGCGGCCGCCCGCGGACCCTCCCATCATGGCCGCCCCAGCGCTCCCACGGCGGCCGCGCGCGGACCCTCCCATCATGGCGGCGCGCGCGGTCCTCCCCGCTCCCAGGCTGCCCCGCGGCACCTGCGGCCAGTCCAGCAGCGCCGCCAGCATCTGCCCGGTCTGGTTGCAGTCGTCGTCTATGGCCTGGAGAGGGCGGGGGGAGCGCGCGGGGGTCACGTGACCGCAATGGGGGGGGCCCACAGGGTCACGTGACCCCATACGTCCCCTATACCGCCATACATCCCCTATAGGTGCCCATAGGCACCCGCTTGCCCGGCAGCACCGGGTGTCATTGGGATCCCCCATAGGCGCCCTATACGCCCCAGAGGTCTCTCACATCCCCCATACGTCCCCTATACGCCTCCTATACATCCCCTATAGGGGCAGCACTGAGATCCCAGGGTCCTCGTAGATGCCCACAGGTGCCTATACATCCCCCATACCCCCCACAGCTCCCCCATACATCCCCTATAGCTCCCTATACATCCCCTATAGCCCCCCCATACATCCCCTATAGCTCCCTATACATCCCCTATAGGCGCCACCTGCTTGCCCAGCAGCACCGGGCGTCACTGTGGTCCCACGCTCCCCATAGGTACCCTATACCCCCCATCGGTGCCCTATACACCCCATAGCCCCCCCATACATCCCCTAAAGGTGCCTATAGATCCGCTATAGGCGCCACCTGCTTGCCCAGCAGCACCGGGTGTCACTGGCGTCCCACAGGTCCCAGACTCCCCATAGGTGCCCATAGGTGCCCTATACCCCCATAGGTGCCCTATACCCCCCATAGATCCCTATAGCTCCCTATAGATCCTATAGGCGCCACCTGCTTGCCCAGCAGCACTGGGTGTCATTGGGGTCCCACAGGTCCCAGACTCCCCATAGATGCCCATAGGTGCCCATGGGTGCTCTATACCCCCCATAGGTGCCCTATACCCCCATAGGTCCCTATACGTCCCCTATAGATCCTATAGGCGCCACCTGCTTGCCCAGCAGCACCGGGTGTCACTGGCGTCCCACAGGTCCCAGACTCCCCATAGATGCCCATAGGTGCCCTATACCCCCATAGGTGCCCAATCCCCCCCATAGATCCCTATAGATCCCTATAGATCCCTATAGGCGCTACCTGCTTGCCCAGCAGCACCGGGCGTCATTGGGGTCCCACAGGTCCCAGACTCCCCACAGATGCCCATAGGTGCCCTCTACCCCCCATAGGTGCCCTATACCCCCCATAGGTCCCTATA